GCTTTGAAGTGAACCTCCATGTGCAGATTTCGTGGCAGGCGCAGCGCATTGTGAACCTCCATGTGCAGATTTCGTGGCAGGCACAGCGCTTTGTGAACCTCCATGTGCAGATTCGTGGCAGGCACAGCACTGTGTGAACCTCGAGGCGCAGATTTCGTGGCAGGCACAGCACTTTGTGAACCTCCATGTGCAGATTTCGTGGCAGGCACAGCACTTTGTGAACCTCTATGTGCAGATTTCGTGGCAGGCACAGCGCTTTGTGAACCTCCATGTGCAGATTTCGTGGCAGGCGCAGCGCTTTGTGAACCTCGAGGTGCAGATTTCGTGGCAGGCGCAGCGCTTTGGGAATCTCCATGTGCAGATTTCGTGGCAGGCGCAGCACTTTGTGAACCTCCATGTGCAGATTTCGTGGCAGGTGCAGCACTTTGTGAACTCCATGTGCAGATGTCGTGGCAGGGGCAGCACTTTGCGAACCTCCATGTGCAGAATTCGTGGCAGGGAGGCATCGATCTGCGTGCGTCGCTGTGAACCACGCTGTAGTATGCGGAGTAATCTGTGGAGGTGGAAGCTGAGAACTGGCGACTTTGTGGTGCAACTTTAGTACGCGGAGTATCTGGGGAGCTGGAAGCTGAGAACTGGCGACTTTGCAGTACAACTTTAGTACGCGGAGCAATCTGTGGAGCTGGAAGCTGAGAACTGGCAACTTTGTAGCAGAACTTTAGTACGCGGAGTATCTGGGGAGCTGCAGGCTGAGAACTGGCTACTTTGTAGTACAACTTTAGTACGTGGAGTAGGCTCGGGGAGCTGGAGGCTGAGAACTGGCGACTTTGTAGTGCAACTTTAGTACGCGGAGTAACTTTAGGGCCATGGTCCTCTGGGCGTGTCTTCCCGTCGATCCCGTCAAGCCCGTCGGCCCCGTCAGGGAAGTTCCCGTGGTGCCCGTGGCGCCCGTTGTAGACCTGTTCAATACAGGGAACATATGCTGTGTGATCAGGGGAACGCGAGGTTTTCCCAGAAATTCTTCCTAGTTGTTTCGAGGGTCCGCGACCTGTCGCCTCCATCAAATGATCAAGCACTGTTTCACGCCGTGTCTCTGCTGAATCGCTAGCAAGGGCTCGGGCTCTCAAACAACGATATTTACGCATGACTTCTTTTCATGTCGACAGTCGGTCTTCGTGTCAATTAATGTCATATATTGTTAGCCAGAAAAAGAACCTTGTCGCTAGACAGCCTCACTGTGATCGATGTGAGCACCTGGAGATAGAGATGACAGATGACGTTTCTCATTTGATGGTTACCCGTTCGCAGGTTGCTGGGGAGGGTCGCGAGAGGGTGTGCGGAGCTCCCCGGCGCACTTGCTCGCAGGTTACCGGGGAGTGTGATTTTGAGTCTTCCTTAAAAACGATAGGGGGCATCCCCCAAAAAGACGATAACCCTACGCATTAATTAGTTCCGTGAGTTTTTTGAATTCATGTTAATGTGTCGTCCTGCTACAGCAGCTCTTCTGTGCATTTGCTCTCAAGGGTCTGAAGGGCGTCGCTTCATGAACTGGTTTGTTCGCAAATGTCACAGGTAATTATCGATTGTGATTTCTGGTGTTTGAGTGCTGTGTCCTGGCTCTTGGCTCACGGGCTGCCCTCCAGACTCTATGAGGAAAGGCTAGGCTAATGCGCACGCTTGCATCGAGAGGCTGTCCTGGCAACTACTGCCGACATGTGCGCCGACATATATGTATAGACAAGTTTGCTTTGTTTTGTATAGCTCGACCGAACTTGTGAATGGGCCCGTGGGTCCCGTCGGGCCCATATGTCGTCCAGGCCCGTTGGTCCCATCGGTCCCGTGGAGGGCCCGTCCAGGCCCGTTGGTCCTGTGGGTCCCGTTGGGCCCGTTGGGCCCGTGGAGCTGGGACTTGTGTAAAGGACCATTCTCAACTTTAGTATGCGGAGTAGGGAGCTGGAAGATGAGAACTGGCGACTTTGTAGTAGAACCTTAGTGCGCGGACGAGTCATCTCTCGCGGCTGCTCTGGCGCCGCCGCAGCTGAGTCATCTCTCCCGGCCACCCGGCTCTTGAGACGTTGGAAAAATTTTAGCTAACTTGGTTACTTAAAAGTGCTCACTTCGATTATTTTTTCTGGAGACCTCAAAACACGTGTTTTGAGAGGTTGACAAATTTGAGCTAATTAGCTTCGTGTCTAGACAAGCTATCACATCATAGTTAACGTCTAGTTCCAGTTAGCTGTAGTGGAACTAGAGCTAGAGCTATGCTTCACTCATCACTCATCACTCATGCGTCTGACTGAGGGACACGAGGGGCACGCATGGTGGAAAGAACCGGGGCACTCCTATAGGTCAAGTTCTTCTTATAGGAAACTTCCGCCGCCGGCTTGCCCGGGGCCGGGAACTGCTTGTATTTGCCTGTTATCCCCCTACCACCTGACTGCATTGTTTTTGTAGGGCGTGGAAGCCTTGCAAGGATTTGCATTGATTTGATTGCAGAGGAGTGTCAGCGGAGACCTCTTGAACCCTGCTCGGGAGTGGCCAAGCAACACGGCCGTTCAGGCCGGTGAGTACCTGGAGTGGGGCCCCCAGACCATGGAGGCCGCGAGAGACGGTGAGTACGATCTATGTCGTCAAGGAGTGGCATTGAGAGAAGACCTGGACATGGTAGGAGCGGGTTGCACTGACACGTCCTCCCAACTTCTGATCTTCTCCTTTGTTGGTGTTTTTGTGCGGGAGTTCGCCAGGGTGTTCACAAGTCGATTCCCGGACGATTGTACATAGTGCTGTGTACTCTCCTGCAAGCACGGCATTTCCGTGAGCCATTTACACAGTTTCACTGAGAAGAGAACATCAAAGAGAAGATTGATCTCAGCAGGCCCAGCAACTTGGACCAAGACCCAAGACGCTTGACCTGGTGCTTGCTTCCCTTGACCTGGTGGTGCAACGATCAATGCGATGTGGTCCGTGCCATGGCGAAGCAGAGACCGGCACGTTAGCTGAGATTGACGTGTTGCAGGTCAGTGATGAGCCGTTGCAGGTGGGCCAAGCGCCTTTTCTTCCGTTTGGGCGAGTCAGTCAGAGTGCCGAGTGCAGAGTCAGTCGCTGCGTCGCTGATATTTCCGATCCCCACAAAAGAGGAGCTGCAGCCCCTCCTCCCTTGGATTTTGAGAAGCTGCCCCTCCGCTGAACAGGCCAAGCAGGAGGTGTCAAGCAGGAGGCGCACCTTTCGATCGATGGGTCTCTGTGTTCTCTGGGTGAGCGGTGAGCGGCTGGGTTGTGCTGGCTGGGCTCACAGCTATTTAAGTGGATGAGGACACCGGCTTATGGGCTGAACCATTAGCATCCTTCGTGCGATTTAAGTCAGTTCTTTCTGACACTGAATCAAAAAGCGAGCTAATTTCGACTGACTGATCCTCCGGTTGCACTGACTTTCCTCCTTGGCAAAGTGAAAGCAGCAAATCACAGCTCCTTGCTATTTCATTTTCTATATTTTTGTAGTTTAATTGATGTGCCATAAGCCGCCTGATGTGAACCTATTCTGAGAAAGGCAGTAAGCTATAAGCCATAGAAGTCTAGCAACATTTTTAAACTTTGTTGTCTAAGCCACCTCTTGTCCTGACATGGTGGTGTATTTTGCCATAGTTTAATTTTGATAGAGAAGAACCGTGAAAAACCCAGATACAGGCCTATCAACATCTCATCATATCATATCTCTATGTCTATCTCATGGCGATTTTGCGGATCCGCGATCGCCAGATCCTCGCTCTGCTGGTGCTTTGTGGAGCATACTGCAAGCGATGCCTTAACTGACAGCACTGGTGGGCTTGGGACGCGAGAACTTCAGGACAGAACGGATGGGTGTGACATGGTGGAAGGAATCCGAGAAACTGCAGGATCCGAGAAACCCAGTTTTGGGTTCGAAACCGCTGGTTGTCCAGGATGCGAGAGTTTCAGTTCCGGGAAGACTGCTTTAGCTCAAGCAGCTTCTGAAGTTGGGACAACCTGAACAGTCTGCGCAACTTTACAACTTTGGTCTGTCGCACATTCAACCAGCTTGATGGGCAGCTCTGGGAGCTGTGCACTCACCGAGAGATGGGGTGTTTCTCCAGGCTTTTCACGGCTGGCTTGGTCGACCCCCGAAAATGAGCCGAATGGATCCACGTCTCCAAAAGGTCGCGAAAACGTTCCCCCCTTTCTGCTTGCGGCACAGGACCTGTTTTCAACGAAGCAGCATCGGATGACGATGCTCCTGCCGCAGAGCGACGATCTGCCCCGCTGTTTTGTGGAGCAGCCTGCGTGGGGGGAGCCCAGACGTGGTAGAGGGGGGAGTCGTTGGAAGCACCCTCTACTGTACATGGCTGAAGCTTTGCCTTGCACTCTGCAAGTCTTTTTGGTGATGTGGCATGTGAAAGAGCTGCGGATCTCCTCGGCTCCCAGCTCAGCATCGATAGCTAAAGCATGCTGAAGCTATGTGGGAGAAAGTCACCTGCTTGGAGGTCTTCCAAAGAGATGCCGGTCCGAAGACCTCCTGAAGAACAGGAAGAACAGGAGGCGGACGAGTGAACATGTGCGGAAGGAAGGCTGTGAGGGTCAATTATGGGTAAATTCCATAACTGTCGGCTGGTATATTTGATAACTCCATATAGTTCCATCATATTCGGAAGAAGGGGATATGCTAGGTGTTCGTTCACGTGGGGCAGCTGGGACAATGAGTCGCAGATATTCAACATTGAAACTATTGAAACATTGGTCTCACACCGAGTCACGAAACAGGGCCCAAGAACACTTGCACTTTGTTGGTCGTCACGACCCAAGCCTCCTTTGCTTGTCATCAGCCTCACATCCTCCAACTTTAGTGCGAACAACTCTTGCCCCCAATTCTTTGCATCACTTTGTTTCGCAAGGTGCTTCCCAAAAATCCTGGGCCGAGGGTATGGCTGGCACTCTTTCAGGACTCTCTTCTTGTCTTCAATCGTCCTGCATGAACCACCAGTCCCTGGCCTCACATTTCGGTTCAAGACGACCCAGGGACTTCAAGAACCACGTGGAGAAAGATGATGTATAGGTCTAGGTTTCATACATGGATCACTCACAAAATCAGTGTCCAGCTTTCCAAACAATCTTCCAGCATGATGCAACACTTCCAGATGCACAAGCCTACTGTTCACATCTGTCACTGGGATCTTCACTAAAGATGTCTCACCCCGCGATGAATGCGGAATCGAAGTCGTGGAAGACTTGCGAAACAGACAACCAGGAATCTTAGTCAAAACGTCCTTGCAGGACGTCTTGACTAAGATTCCTGGTAGTTGTGGAGGAAAAGGCACGCACCACAAATACGTGGCAGGAATCGAAGTGACGTTGGAGGAGGGAGGTGTGGAAGCATCCTTCTCAGTCAAGGCTTCAGATAGTCCAACAAGAGAGAGCATCGGAACGGGTACAAGATTTGTTTGTGGCGAGGGCAACTGATGGCTTTGTTGGAAGAGCAGATGAAGAAAACAGCACGAACTGCCGGAGCAGAAACCTCTTCCGCTTGGCGCAGATGGAAAATTCAGATCTGGATCAAGTAATGTTGGATCTTAAATAGCATAAACCACCCCTCTCTAGAGAGTCTGAACTCTCACCAAAAGTAAAACTAGACGACGGTTGGCCCGAGAGCGAGACATGTGATTGTCCAGCACTGTCGAAAAGATATATAGAAATAAAGAGAGGGTGGACGTGAAGGAGTGACAGTGTGGATAGGCATAGGTATCAAAAAAAATAAAGCGAGCATCAAAAAAAATAAAAAGAGGATCAACATGAAAATAAAAAGCGAATCAAAAATACATATTCCTTGATAGGCCTCTTCTGCTGCTCTCCTGGCCCTGTGGTCTGCGGGTCCTCTGGTAATAAGGTCCCTTGGTCCTTTGGTCCCTTGGTCCTCTGGTCCACTGGTCCTTTGGTCCCCTGGTCCCTTGGTTCCTCCGGTCTCCTGGTCCTCTGGTCCTGTGGTCCGCTGGTCCCCTGGTATCCTGGTCCTTCTGTCTCCTGGTCTGCTGGTCTCTTGCTCTCCTACTCCGCTCGTCTTTCGGTCTCCTGGTCCCCTGCTTGCGCAAATCGAGGCTTGATTGCTTTCTACTAGAGGCAGCTCCCTGGGAGGAAAGTAGGTAGTAGCCGTCCAGTCATTGAGTAGCCCTACTCGAAAAATTGTTCACCAGTAGAAATAGCTCCCTACTAGGAAGGAGCTCCTAGGGAGGTACACTCTCCTAGTCCCCTACTCCTTCCATCCTCTCCCCTTGGTCTCCTAATCCTGCTACTGCTGCTACTACTACTACTACGACGACGACTACTACTACTACTACCCCAACCATCCTCAGTGGGCTCGAATATATTATTTTGATTACCTTTTTTTCTAATTGATCCCCGTTGAATATTTTTTGATTCTATTTTTATTTTTGTTGATCCCTTACCCTCCGTGTGGATGTGCAGGTGCGATATAGATGTGTAGATGTATGGAGGTGGAGAGGTAGATCTGTGGATGTGAGCGTGTGAAGATGTAATTGCACAGAGGCGAGAGAAAAGGTATGTAGAAAGAAAGAAAGAAAGACAGAACAGATGTGAAGGAGCGACAGTGTGGATGTACAGATGTGATAATTATAGATGTGCAGATGTGTGGGTGTGGTGAGGTGGAGAGGTAGATCTGCGGATGTGAGCGTGTGAAGATGTAAATGTAGAGAGGTGAGGGGTGTAGACGTAGATGCGTCGATGCAACGGCAGCGCAACGTCAACCTTAGTTGTGCAAGTACAACGCTGAAGAGGTTCAAGTAGAACTGAAGAACGTACACTTCACATTGAAGTTTCCACGAAATGGCGTCAGGGCGACCTGAGAGTAAACGACGTCACGATCATGACGAGCGACTCGTGTATTCCAAGCGAACATCGTTTGTCATGAAGGTGAAGTACACACATACTAACGTCACGATGACTCTTTTGTGGTAGCCGCTGATCGCGTCGTTTGAGCGATGATGTCGTAGGTTCGTCCCGAACAGTCTCGACGGACGACCCGCGACATAAATTAGCCTCGGTGTGTTGCGCTGAAGTCTCTCTGCCATTCCGCGCGCAAACCTTCCAGGTGCCACAACGCTTCCAAGACATAGGGCCGATTGCGCCAAGGACTCAATGCTGGTCTTTTTTGAAGCAGCAACTGCACGGCCTCCAGTGCGGAATGTTCGTAAGCGACAACGAGCCAAGCGCACAAAATCCCCGTGCTCCGATTGATGCCACCAAAGCAGTGAAAGAGCACGCGCATGGATTTGTCCGGGCGACCGCCAGCATGGACTGTTTCCACAACTGGCTGCAGACGATTTTCCACTGTCGCAAATAGGAAGCCACTAAGTCCGGAATTTGCTCAAGCCAACGCCTTGCCGGCTTCAATGTCGTATCTTCCAAGTGACACTGGATGTGAATACATCTTGTTGTTGAAAGTATTTCGTCCAGTCTGTCGGCGCACCTTCGATCTTCATCTCCTGCTCGCACATGGTGACAACCGCAGTGACCTTCAAAGACGAGGTCTCCACAATGTCTTGCAAGCTACACGCAGCTTTCACACTTCCAAGCAACTGCGATGCTCGACCCGTAGGCCTGTAAATGACAGCAGCATCCAAAGGCCACGCTTCTATGGACTTAAAGCTGTAGTTGTGTTGGTCTGTGACATGATCCAAAGCAGTCCACCGGCTCCTATCAGCATAAGCGTCTCTGATATCCTGCTCTCGCTGTGTTCTCCACTCGAGAGCCAGACCCATGACTACCAAAGGCGAACGTCTGATCGCTGTGAAAGACCCCTAGCACCTGCTACATCACTGATCAGTGTTACAAGTCTGTGAGCTTGTGGGACACTCTTGTGGGTCACTCTTGTGGGAAGCTCTTGCGGGGCACTCTTTTGGAGAAATTAAAAATACCAAGAGAAAAGATGTGTAGAAAGAGAGAAGGAGAGGGCGGATGCGCAGGAGTGACAGTGTACTGTAGATGTGCAGGCGCAATACAGATGCGCAGATGTGTGGAGGTGGAGAGGTACATCTGCAGATGTGAGCGTATCAAGATACTCTCGTGGAACACTCTCTCTCTGGGACACTCTTGTGGGACACTGTTGTGGGACACTCTCTTGAGACACTCGTGATACCACGAATCGTCCCGCTCCCCAGCGACACGCCGCGTTTACGCCAGCATGTTTCGTGCTCCCCAGTGGCGCGGAGCCATGCAGACGCACTTTCCACCAAGGCCGCGCAAATCCCAATGGCACTGCGACATCACCACCGTCGCGTCGCCGCAAGGTCTGCCCAGACACTAGGGGCCAACATTTCGCACGATATTCCAGGTATGAGTCCAGCTCCAAAAAGCCCTTTCCCGTACTACATTTGTACTCCAAACTGGCCACCACTTCTGAGTCCAGCTCCGAAAAGCTCTTTCCCGTAAACTGGCCACTTCTGAGTCCAGCTCCGAAAAGCTCTTTCCCCTACCACATTTGTACTACAAAACTGGCCACTTCTGAGTCCAGCTCCGAAAAGCTCTTTCCCCTACTACATTTGTACTACAAACTGGCCATTCTGATCTCTCACCTGCGTTTCGCGCCTTCCACGCGCACGATCTCCGCAGAGGGCTGCGCCGGAGAAATCCGAAACGCGCTCTCGCTTGCTTTTTGCCCCCTCGACACGCACGATCTCCGCAGAGGGTTGCGCCGGACCGGGCCAGAACGCACTCTCGCCTGCGTTTCGCGCCCTCGAACGATCTCCGCAGAGGGTTGCGCCGGACCGGGTCAAAATGCACTCTCGCCTGCGTTTCGCGCCCTCGACACGCACGATCTCCGCAGAGGGTTGCCCGCGCCAAATCCAAAACGCATTTCGCGCCCTCGACACGCACGATCTCCGCAGAGGGTTGCCCGCGACCGGGCCAAAACGCACTCTCGCCTGCATTTCGCGCCCTCGACGCGCACGATCTCCGCAGAGGGTTGCGCCGGACCGGGCCAAATCGAGCTCTCGCCTCCATTTCGCGCCCTCGACGCGCGCGATCTCCGCAGAGGGTTGCCCGCGACCGGGCCAAAACGCACTCTCGCCGGCATTTCGCGCCCTCGACGCGCACGATCTCCGCAGAGGGTTGCGTTTCGTGGTGCTCCGGCGGCACTGCCCCCGGCCTTAAGAAAGTAAAGAAGAGCGAGAGGTGAAGATGTGAGATGTAGATGTGAGGATGTGAAGATGAGCAGAGATGTAGATGTGCAGATGTGAATGTAGATGTGAAGATGAGCAGAGATATAGGTGAGAATGTAGATGTGCGGAGGTGAAGATGTAGATGAGACGTAGTTCTGCAGATGTTTTTTTACGAAGAACCCTTCGCAGGCGCTCTTGGGAAATAGTAAAAGTAATAAGTCAAAGTAGTAGTAGTAGTAGTAGTAGTAGTAGTAGTAGTAGTAGTAGTAG